CTGAGCTCTCAATCTTAAGGCAAACTGAAGTTAATGGCCTCAGCTTGGCAAACTATTTCCACCTCGGCTGTTTACCATCTGGGAGTTCTGACAAAGAGCAAGAGCACGTTTACAGCAAGACATCAAAGCCAGAAATGAGGCGAAGCAGTCGTATAACAGAGCTAAAGCTGGGAAAATAACCAGACCTGTTTTATTGTCACACAGCTTTAATTTGTAGCTTCATGAAGCAAACTAAAGAGGAAAATGCTCCACTATTTTAAATGAACTGTTTCTAAATGGCTCAGTTTTACAAATTAAAAAACAGCCCCAAACAAGAAAACAAAAAAATATTTGTTTAAGTCTTGAGGAAAGAGAGGGACAACGTGAAAGACGAGACAGCCTGCACACCAGCTGACCAGCAGTGAGCATCATTACTACTCTGCATTTTCACACGTTTCTCGTTCTTCAGACTGTTTCTGATCAGGCTGCTGGCTGGACTCCCGTTCTGCCAGCCGGTAACGATCGGCTCAGTGCTGCTAAACTACGAACAGGAACAGAAGATTGCACAGAAAACTATTAGCTTGCAACATCTGCGCATCAGCCCATTCACATGTTTCTGATGACGCAACTTTGGACATGCATGGCACTTTACGCACAAAACACACCGAGACAAACGTCACACGGGGTCAAACTCTAGTCATATGCATGCGCTCTGTTTGACGAGAGCCTGTCAACGTGCACTTAATGGCTTCATCTGAGGCGACCATGGAGCAACAGAGTATTTATCAACAATTTAGGAAGCTATGGCTGACAGACGGGCTCTTTCCCACCAAGCACCAGTGTCGTGCCCGTCTTTATTTAAACTTTCGATACTCCATGGGATCTGCAAGTGACCCTCAGACCAGATTTAATTCACACATGCTTGTGTTTCTATCCTCTTTAGGATATTGTATTGACTTGCATTTCTTTCTGTAAGCTCACCTGGACCCTGAAGGCCTCATTATACCATACCACTTTATTTATAGAGCACTTAAAACAGCGACAAGGCCAACCAAAGTGCTGTACAGACAGAACAACAGGTAACACACAAAGCAAAATACAAAATGAGGTAAATCAGAATATAGACAAAAAAACGATGAAGATAATGACGACAAACCAGTGTGGAGCATACAGGATCAAAACACAGATCATCTGGTGTTGAAAGCTATTGAATAGTAGTGAGTTTTTAAACAGGACTTGAAAACCGAGAGGGAGGGGGCCTGTCTGACAAGCAGAGGTAACTCGTTCCAAAGTCTTGGTCCTGCTACAGGGAAGGCCCTGTCACCTCTGCGCTTAAGACGAGATCTTGGAACTGTGAGGAGCAACTGGTTCGCTGACCTCAGGGAACGCGGTGGGACATACGGTTGTAACAGATCAGAGAGATGGGGGGGGGGGATGAAACTGTTCAGTGATTTGTAGACATACATGAGTATTTTGAACTGGATTCGAAAGTGAACCGGTAACCAGTGCAGTGAGGCCAAAACTGGTGTAATGTGCTTTCTTTTGCCTGTACTGGTTAAAAATCGGGCTGCTGCATTCTGGACCAGTTGTAGTCGTGCAGTGGAGGTCTGACTGATACCAAACAGGAGCGAATTGCAGTAATCAAGCCTAGATGTAATGAATGCATGTTTTACTGTCTCCAGGTTATTTTTGGACAATATGGGCTTCAGTTTAGACAGCCACCTCAGTTGGAAGAAACATGATTTAACAGCTCCTGGTCCAATATGAACCATCAGTACACACCTTTTTAACCAGCACATGGTTGAAATGTTGCTGACTATATATAATTTTCTGCAGTAACAAGCAAAGTTATACTTAACAAGATGTAAGACATCGGAGCTCGTTGACGTGATTGTGACACACTCAGGTTTATACTCGATGAGAAACTGCGAGGAAGAAGTCCTGTTAAGCTCCTCCCGCTGCAGCGCACGTCACACGACAACAAAAACAACACACAGCAACGTTGGCAGAGAAGACGTATATTCTCAGTTGATGATGGAGGAGATGAAGGAGGAAGAGCCGGTGTTTCTATTAAATGAGGAAAAGCGCTATTTTGTAAATAGACCGCAACGGTTTCCAGCGCACGGTACAGGAGCGGGCACTCCCTCCCAGTCAGCACAGAGGGACTTTGTCTTTCTTACAAACTCTGCCAGAAATAAGAGAAACATACACGGCTGGGGTCCATGCACAAGACGGGGTGCGAGAAGAAAAAGATGCAATTTTTGTCACGCAACCACGTCAACGAGACAACCATTCATGGAGTGTAAACCAGGCCTAAATGTTACCAGTACATACCCAAAGCTACCTAAAACTAACCAATGATTACGTTCCACCTTTTCAGGACCAGGCTTTGGTCCACATAAAGACTATCCGTATGGACGAGGTCATGACTGGACCAGGAACTTCTAACTAGGTAACAAAAAACACGAGCACAGAGTCCACAAAGCAAATGGTTGGTTGTTACAGCCAGATTATTCTACTTTCTTTTAACAGACAAAAGTAAAAACTTTCCTGGGGGGTGCAGGAATGTTACTCTGAGTGCTAACACACTACAGTCCAGTGGTGTAGTCTATGTGATACACACATATACCGAGTATACCCACTAGAAAAGCTAGGGAATTTCAGTATACCCACTTAAACGTGCCCAATGACACGGGCCCATGTCATGTATCATGCTACATGACATGGGCTCGTGTCATCATTAGGGGCGGCTGTGGCTGAGTGGTTAGAGCAGTCGTCCTCCAATGCGAGAGTTGGAGGTTCGAATCCACCAGCAGTCACATGGCGAAGTGTCCCTGGGCAAGACACTGAACCCCTCATAGACTCTGATGTGTGTCCCATCAGTGTATGAATGTGATAAAGCTCTGATTAGTCTCTTTAGAATGATTTGTTCAATTAGCTTTGTAGAGATCTAGTATAGAGCTGTATGAATGGGTAAATGAGGACACGGATTGTCGTGTAAAGTGCTTTGAGTATCTTGAAATAAGATAGAAAGGCGCTGTATAAGTACAGTCCATTTACCATTTATAACACATTTGGAACATTTTATAGACACACTGAGTTGGTTCAACCTGTTTTTTGTTTATTTTATTAATACTTCTGTACTTAATACTTGAACATGGTTTGCTTTGATACTGTTTTATAAATTCTATTACATTTTTAATATGGGAGCAGCACGGTGGCGCAACTGGTAGAGCTGCTGCCTCTCAGCGAGCAGGTCCTTGGTTCAAACCCCGGTCCAGGGGCCTTTCTGGGTGGAGTTTGCATGTTCTCTCTGTGCATGCGTGGGTTTTCTCCAGGTGCTCCAGTTTCCTCCCACAGACCAAAAACATGCATGTTAGGCTGATTGGTAACCCTAAATGGTCCCTAAATGGTGAGTGAGAGAGTGAATGGTTGTTTGTCTCGTTTGTCTCTATGTGGCCCTGTGATGGACTTGCGACCCATCCAGGGTGTACTCCGCCCCTCGCACAGTGATTGCTGGACATGGGCACCGGCGACCCCCGTGACCCAAAATGGAATAAGCGGGTAAAGAAAATGGATGGATGGATGGATGGATGTTTTTTAATATGAAGCCAACTGTTGTACAAAGTTTGTTGTACATTTGTTTAAATATAAGCATCAGAGAAATTTGGAAATGTTTAATATCCTTAAAAATCAAAATAAATTAACCATAACATTGTATTAACCGGTGTACTTTGGTTTCTAAGCACAGTATACCCATTACAAAAATGTACACTATACCACTGCTACAATCTTAGTTCCAATCACTGAATTTGTTATTTCCCTGAATGAGCAATCTCATGATAAGAGAACAGCCAGGCCGCCATAGGGCAACGTGCTTTGATCAAAAACTGGGAAATTACCCACAATTCCATTTGTCGTCTATTCACAAATAGTAAACTGAATAAAATACACATTCTTGATCCCAACGGTACGTTAGTTTGTCAGTTTATCGCTTACTTAAGATAGCTGACGTAAAGTTTTTAACTTTACAAACAAAAGCTGATGGATTTTCCAGAAGGTGCACAAAGACCTAATAACAGACTGGGAATGGTTCCTGGTCCAATATGAACCATCAGTTTTAACCAGCACACGGTTGAAATGTTGCTGACTATATATAATTTTCTGCAGTAACAAACTCAGTCTTTAGATTGAATAAAAGTTTATTACTATTTAGTTGTTAAAACCCGACACTTGCTGAAAGCTTCATAGTAATCTCTAATAATCTGCCAAATTAGGCCATTTTTGATGCCATCTTGTTCAATGAACATTCAGAACTTGATCCCAGAATTTAAAACTTTAACTTTTCTGTTGGGGATGATTTGAAAGTTGAAATAAGTGTTTAATGTAAACTTTTTCTGAACATTTTGTAGGCATGACATGCACAGTTTACAGTTTATGACTAATCAATTAATGAATTGATTGATCAAATGGGAGGGCATTTATCTAAATACACAAATCCTCAAAGAAACAGGTGATGTGGGTCGGCTGTGGCTGAGTGGTTAGAGCAGTCGTCCTCCAATGCGAGAGTTGGGGGTTCGAATCCACCAGCAGTCACATGCCGAAGTGTCCCTGGGCAAGACACTGAACCCCTCATAGCCTCTGATGTGTGTCCCATCAGTGTATGAATGTGATCTAAAGCTTTGATTAGTCTCTTTAGAATGATTTGTTCAATTAGCTTTGTAGAGATCTAGTATAGAGCTGTAAGAATGGGTCAGTGAGGCACAGATTGTAGTGTAAAGAGCTTTGAGTGTCTTGAAATAAGATAGAAAGGTGCTATATAAGTACAGTCCATTTACCATGTCCTCCCAGGAAGAGGGACAGAAAACATTTAGCTGAGTTTTGTGTTTTAATAATTTAGCTGTATTTGTGCAGACAACTCCTACAAGATAATATTACAGATTAAAAGTTTAAAGCCTGAAGGCGCTGCCTGTCAAACTCAAGGTCACCATGATGGACGCAGGACATCCGAGTGGACTTACCTGGACGGAGTCGTTGGACATGGCTGGTCCCCGTCAGTCCACAGGCTGACACGCTGTCCCCTTTGAGAAAAGACGGTTGAAGTTTGTCCCGGGACTTGTGGACCAGTTCTGTTCACACAAAGAGGGACACCAGTCGGGAGGTAGTCCGCATCGTTGGCTCGCCTGGCCGCGCCTGAACTGAGCCTGGCGCGGGTCGAACCCGGTCCGTGTCGGTGTAAAACGCGCGAGTCCTCCGGGTTTAAAGGGAGAGCTCCGGGCTCATTGTTCTCTGTGAGCAGCGAGCGAACCGGCAGAACCCGAACCAGCAGCCTCCTCCTGCTGTGCGCGCACAATAAAGGAAGATGCCCTTCCTCCTCTTCGTGTTCCCGGTAACATCCGTGAAGCGGAGTCACGTGCCTCCACGAGGGGGGAACCCGCCTGTCAGCAAATTCACGCGCTCTTCCAACTGTCACAACAAAGCGCGTTTAAAACCGAACGTGTCTATTGTCAAAACAAAAGTCTGGCCCGAACAGACAGCTTCTCTTTGGAGTACAGAGGACGTCCAACGTCAACGTTATCGCACATCCACAGCGCGCGCCCGACGCACGAGCGAGCAGCTCATTGGTCAAAGCGCCGAGAGGCGGAGGCGCGCCCGGCTGTGTCACGTGACGCCCGTTGTCAAGAGCAACGCCATGCGCATCAACTGTCGAATGTGATACTAATAAACACTCGTTACCCTTAAAGTTACACACATTACCAAACGAACTGGTGTCAATATTCTATCAATATGATCGATTGAGCTGTCTTGTTCTCTTTATACAGTTTACTAAACGGAAGAGGAGAGCCACAGTGCATTTCCCCCTTTAATTCTGAGATTAAAGTCAGAAATCTTAAAGTCAAAATTCTTATTTTAAAGTCAGAATTCTGAGATTAAACTCAAAATTCTTAGATTAAACTCAGAATTCTGGGATTACAAAGTCAGAATTCTTAAAGTCAAAATTCTTAGTTTAAGGTTAGAATTCTGTGATTACAAAATCAGAATTATTAAAGTTAGAATTCTTAGATTAAATTCAGAATTCAATGATTTCCTAACATGTATGTTTTGGGTCTGTGGGAGGAAACTGAAGTAAGTGGAGAAAACCCACATGTGGAAAGGGAGAACATGTAAACGCACACAAAGGCCGGAAGGCGAACCTGTGACCTTCTTGCTGTGAGGCCACAGTGTTAACCACTGCGCTGCCGTACCTCCCATGGAGAAAGTGTTTGTTAATAATGTTCTTCTGTAATATATAAAAGTTACAAACCCTCAGTCATAACACTCGTCTCCTGAATGTGGTGAAAGTCTTGCCATACAAATGGCTGAAGTATAGTATGCGGATGTAGTCAGATTGCAGAAACGATGAAAAAACAGGAAAACAAAAGGGTGAATGCGAATTCACACATCTAAAACTATAAAAAAAAGAAAGAAGCTCACCTGATATTTGGCTATAAACAAATACAAAACTAAATAAGGCAAGTTTTCATATTATGACAGATTTAGCAGTTAAAGGGAAAATACTTTAAATGTTGTGTATTTTTATTACATTTTATATATTTTGTCCTGTTCTAAACTAAATACAGGGATAGGACAGTGCTGGTACATTGTATTCTTTGTGCACTCAAGAAAGTTTTCCTGCAGCTTTTGAAGCTCAGGATTTAAAAAAGGTCTTACATGTAGCTGGTTCTGCCTGGCTTTAAAATTCACATGGAAGGCTTGAAACCCATTAGGCTCAAAATCAGAGCCAAGTCTTGACAAAATGAGTTTTACTTCATTCAGAAATCGATCATTTGACATCTCAGTTTCATGATGTTTACTGTGATTTCCAAACCTGTCTTTACATCCTCTCCAGACTTTTCTGCTCATCTACAATTTAAAACCTGGTGTTCCTTGAAGGAATGCATATCGCACTCCACTTTTGATACCATAATCTCAAACTAAGATCATCCTACGTTGAGAAATGTTGGATTTAAGGTAGTTTGTAAACTGAAGAAGTTGTAGTCATTTTGGTGTTTTCTAAGGTTGCTCAGCGGTGGCAGACATCTTGAATGGAGTAGACTCCAAAAGTTAATCAGCTGTAAATGTTCATTTTCAGCAAGTTTCATTAAAATCTGCCGGGTGGATGAGCAGACTTTACAGAAAAACAAACAAACAGGCACACAGGACACAGTGGGCGATGGTTGTGGTGGAAGTTTGTGAGGGTAGTGAAGTGTGTGTACAAAGACAGGAACACAGTGGTGACATGTGCAGTATGTGACATATGGCTTCAAGGTGGGGGTGGGATACATCAGGGATCAGCTCCAAGCCCCTTCATGTTTGCAGTGACAATAGACAGGTGACAGATGAGGTCAGGCAGAAGATGCTAGCAGAAGACATGGTGATCTGAGCAGGGGGCAGGTGGAAGAGAGTCCGGAGAGGTGGAAGTGTGTTTTGGAGCAGGGGTCAGTGTGACAGAGGAGGATGCTGAGATAGGATGAGGTGGAAACAGATGATCTGTGTGATGACCAGCACCTAGAAGCAGAAGTACAGTTAAGTCTCACTTCTGGTTTATGTTACGTTTTTGAACCTGGGCAGCACGATGAAGCAGTGGTTACAGCTGTCGCCTCCAGGTTTGCCCCCCCCCCACGGCCTTTCTGGGTGGAGTTTACATGTTGCTCCTGGGCATGCTGGGTTCTCTCCAGTTACTCTGGTTTCCTCCCACAGACTGAAAACATGCATGTTAGGTCAATTAGTAACTCTACATTGACCCTCGGTGTGAGTGAGAAATAAATATTTGTCTCTGTGTCCCTGCGATGGACTGGAGACCTGTCCATAGTGTCCCTGCCCCTCTCCCACAGTGACTGCTATGAACCAGTAACCACCACGACCCGATGAGGAAAGTGCTTGTAAATAAAATGGGTGAATGGACTTTTTGCTTCCCAACGAACTGGTGGATGTATAGTCAGAGTCATTTCTTTAAAGTTACTGCACTGAAAGTTTCAAACTGATGTTCATCTACCTGGACCTCCTCTGAGCCAAAAGAAAAGCTAAAGGTGTACTATTGCACAGCCAGTGACAGAAATGAAGGAAGAAACGAGGGATTTAGCAAATTTGAAAAGGGTGAAGGGAGGTAGATTTGCATAACTGATTTGCAAAATGAAAATGTGTTCGGTGAAAGATGGAAGCCGAAACAGAGTAACCTGACACACACCTCACATCCTGTATGAGCTCTGCAGGTAACTGATGATGAAACTCTACAGCTGAGTCACTTACAGACATCAGAGTCTACGACTCATTTAATCTACTATTATCAGCCTCATACATAAACACGATCAAAAATTAAATGTTAACGCCAAATATTAGTGGAATATCCTGATGCATGCTCAATAATCCAGGTAGAAAAATCTAAAAAAGTTAAATCTGGTCCTCTGGACAAGCAAGATCCTTCAGAAGGCACAGACCCAGCTGCTGAATGAACGGGTGAGACAGACCAATTTTACTATTGAGGCCTTGAAGGCCAAAGAAGAGCACATTAAACAGAAACTAACTATGTGTCTAGATCAGACCACACTTCAGCAAGTGTTGGACTGTACAGATCAGACACGCTTAACACAGCATGTCAAGTCCAAGACTCGACAACAAAACAAGTTTAACTTACTAATAACTCATCAACACCATCACTATTCCAATAACAACACATTCAGTGTAGGACAACACTCCAGTAGTCAATTACATGTCAGGGAGACAGAAAAGTGGGTGAAGAATTTATCTGACAGACAGCTCACCCAGCCGGAGAAAGAGATTCTTGCCAGGGGACTGAACTTTGCGGTTGCACCAAGTAGAATTCCTCTGGTGGAGATGATCACAGCTACTGAGTCAGCCATCCGCAACAACAAAATGAAAGAGGGTGAAGCAGAACAGCTCAGAATCAAAGTTTCAGCCTGCCTCAGCAATGCCAAACCACCACCTTCCAACATCAGTAGAGAGGAGAGGGACGCACTCACCACTCTTAGCAAGGACAAAAACATCATCATTCTCCCAGCAGACAAAGGAAGGTGCACAGTGATTCTGAACCAGAAAGACTATCATGAGAAAGTTATGACACTCCTTAGTGACTTAAACACTTATGAACCTCTGAAAAGAGATCCAGGAAGTGGTTACAAGAAGAAATTGATAGGTTGCCTGAAAATTTTGGAGCAGGACAAGGCTATTGACCGTTTTCTGTACCACAGACTGTACCCAGGGGAGGCCACACCTAGTCTGTAT